ATTGACCAATGAAAATCTTCTACGCCGACGCATGGCACCAAGCTCAACGTGCACGCTCTGTTTGGTGGACTCTGAATCTACGCTACATGCACTTCGGGATTGTCATGAGACTGAATCTACGCTACATGCACTTCGGGATTGTCATGAGACGATGAAAACGTGGAAGAGGTTGATTCCTAGCTCTCAATGGAGTGTGTTTTTCTCTTTGGACCTCAATAGTTGGTTCCAGGCGAATTTATCTGGGGTATCAACTGGGCAATGGACAACTAGGACTCCTTATTTGGTCTCACATTTTGGCGTTTATGGCGGTGGCGGAATTTAAAATTATTTCAAGGGACCGACACAACCATGACTCAACGGGTTGGAGAGGTATTTTCATATGCGGACAACGAGCGTGGGGCACTGGCTAGTAGCCGAAAGGTAGGATACACGGGATGTCTGAAACGCATTGGATTTCTTGATCTTCTTGAAGGAGGGCGAGCTAAAGGTCAGTACGGATGGCAGCTTTGTTCCTGCGACGGAGATAACGAGCGTCGGTGGTGTTATTCGAGACCACCATGAGGGATAGGTGTGTGGGTTTTTTTATGAGTATAGGATTCTGTTCGATTATTGGGGCCGAATTATGGAGGTTGTTCCAAGGGTTACAGTTGGCCTGGGATATCATCGGGCCCAAAAAATTAAAGTTGAGGTCGACAATAAGAGCATCATTGAGATGGTTCAGTATGATGATTATAGCGAACCGCATGAGTGTGTTGAAGGGGATTCCAGAGCTTGTAGGTCGTCTTTGAGCTGTAGAGACTATTCACAACTATAGGGAGGCCAATTGTGTTGCGGATTATTTGGCATCCTTAGCGGCCAAGGGTCCTGGTGGTCTTTATCAATTGGAGTGCCCTCCGCCGGAGATGGGAATATGATTACATCACGACATGATCGACTTGTCTTATCCTAGAAAGATTATTTTATAGTTCGCATAGGCTTTGCCTCCCTTTCTTGTAAAAAAAAAAATCCCTAATTAACCTCAAACCTCTTGTTTTATCTCAAAATGCAATTTCGAAAACTATTGTCTAACAACTCTTACCTCTCAACTTTCAACACTCATTTCACGTCTCCACTTCCATGTAAAAATCGTGTTATTCAATTAAGCAAAAGTATACAATCGCATTTACATCCGCTAAAAGCAAAAAATGCACAAGTACACAAAAACGAGACTATGTAACATATCATGCAGAAGCACAAATCAGCACACATACACGAGGAAAGTCAGCTACAAAAGTGGATACACACTCCATCACGAGAGTCTGGTGAACGCCTGAGCCCCTCTTGCAACCTTAATAAAAACATCTTCTAACGTCGTGTCAGCCAAGCCCCACGCCTGAACCGCGAACCGACTCTTTGCTTTCTCGACTGCCTGGAAAACGTCCGAAATTCTTACTTCTTGCTTGGCCAGCTCGAATTTTTGGGTCCCCGAGATTTGGTAGATTTTGGTGGCGCTCGGTGAGAGGTGTCGAACCAGATTCTCGACTTCCTCATCGTGATCAGCGGACGTTGTTATCGTGAATACATACGAGCCCCCGTACCTAGCCTTGAGCTGTCAAATGGAAACGTTAAGCAAAATGAAGCAATTATTGCTTGAGTACACGGAACTAATAAGGTAAATTATGGAAAAGCACGGGCGAGAAAGTTCAGCTATATATCTTTAAAAAGTATTGTTTTGGGCTAAATTGTAAATTTGGTTAAATTATGAAGGTCGCAATTTAGGTCCACTTGGGTGAAGTATAGCATTTTAAGTCTGGTAATTTAAAATTTTGCTGCAATTTCAGTATTTTAGCAGTCGAAATTCCCAATTTATATATTTGGGATGAATCTTGATTAGCAATTGAAGTCCAGTAACTTAAAAATTTGCTGCAATTTTAGTCCTTTTACCGTCAAAGTATTACAGGACTTAAACTGCTATATGTCATTCCAGTCAGACCTAAATTGCTACATAGGACCAAAACTGCAAGTTAGCCATTTGTTTTGTAATATGATCGAAGTTAAGGGTATTTTGTGTAACTTTGTGATTCACCCTAAATGTTACCTCTTTGGGGTTTCCAACACACTGCAAGCTTCCATCAACGAAAATCCCAAGACGGTCGCATAAATGCTCGGCTTCTTCCATTGAATGTGCTGAAGAGTATCAAACCACACGCATGAGTTAGAAAGTAATCCTTTTTTAGGAATTATGTACGTAATTCATAAATGCAAACACTTCTATGTTAACTATTGTGTGACATTACTGGTGAGGATTATAGCTCTGTTTTGTTTTGCTCGTTTCACGACATTCCACAACAGGTTTCGTGAAGCCGGATCAAGCCCAGTACTCGGCTCGTCCATGTAGACCACCTTTATAATAATAATTTAAAAAAAAAAAAGAACAGTGGTTAAGAAACTAGTTACATCTAAAAAACGACAGTAACAAGCAAAAAACGGCCGAGGAACTTAGTCAATTCAATCAAATGTTTACCTTGGGATCTCCAATAAGTGAAATTGCGACACTAAGTCTCCTCTTCATGCCTCCACTGTATTTACCAGCTTGTTTGTCGGCCACCCCACCGTGAAACAAGTTCACGCTCTTCAGAGATTCTTCTACTGCCTAATAGCACAATACAGAAATTGACAGACGAGTGTATAAACAAACATAAATCTTTCTCATATTTTTGAACCTACTCAACTCATTTCGATTCTATATATAATTGGATTGCGAAATGAGAAATAGGCGTTTGATTGGTACAAACTTACTTGTGTTAGGGAAGCCCCTTTGAGATTCTTAAGCCTTCCATAGAAAAGTAGGTGTTCTCTTCCAGTTAAAGTTTCCCACAGTAAACTGCATATAGTTTACGAAAAACGTTAAATATATATCGAGAAAACAGAATAATTTCAGTATGTGATGTCCTGTTGCATATGTAATTGCTTACTCATGCTGAGGACACACACCCATGCTGGTATATATGCTATCCATATCAGTACGTATATCCAGTCCTTCTACATATGCAGTTCCAGAGCTTGGCTTTATAAGCCCAATCATCTGCCGAAACAAACATAGAATAAATACACAATCGGTATCTGGAGCCAAGTCTCGAATAACAAAAAAAGAAGAAAAAAATACAAACTAGAGCTCGTAAGATAGTTTTTTTTTTTTTTTTTTCTGGAGAATAACCAAGATTTCTACTAAATTACCATATTAATAAACGAAGTTTTTCCAGCACCATTTGGACCAAGCATGCCGAAACACTCCCCTTGTGGCAAAGCAAGCGAAAGACCCCTGACTGCAAATTTCTCAGGGTTTCCATCTCTACCTGGATATATCTTTTTGAGATCATCGCATATGACGGCCTGACTAGTACTTGATTCAAGTATTAACTGTTCGACTTTCTCCCTCTAAACCAAATACAAGGAACAGAAGTTCGATTATAGAAAAAGAAAGGGGAAAAAAAAAGAAACACTATAAGAAAGTGAGATAATACACCCTATTGCAAGGACACTAGGAACCTAACTGTAATAATACTCATCAAACAGTAATCTTAATCAGGGAAGTTGCAACAATCACCACTGAGGTATGGGGTATTTACTCTCTCTCTCTCTCTATCTCTCTCTCTCTCTCTCTCACACACACACACACACACATGGGGAAAATGAAACAATAATAAGGATCGATTCCAAAATTACAAAATACCCATTAAGGTTTGATTTTGACATGCATTTCTTCTTTCGTAAGCAAAAGATCTTGAAAAAGCCACCCTTACGTTTATACAAGTGTAGAACATTTGTTAATTATCACCAATAATCATCAAGTCCAATAGTTCAACCGCAGAATAATCATCAGCAAATTCAAGGAACAGATACTACTGTCTACAAGTGATACACATAGCTGTTTTACCTCTTGCTGAACGTCAGGTTTCTCCAGTTGAACAAAAACTTTAGACCCCTGCCTTCGCAAGCTAGGTTTACGGAAGGATGATGATGAGAGTCCCTTTCTACGCCTCTTTAGGAAAAACAAAGGGCTTTTACCAGATGACGTAACTTGATCTACATAAAATGCAAAACAGAGTACAACTACCCATTCCAATGCCATAATGATCAAGACCTCTCTCATTCCATTGTTACTATCACTTAGATCAGTCCATCGCATGCCGTCAGTTCCCATATCATTTCCAGTGAAAGCGTATTGGGAAAACTCGTATAACCCACGGTAAAGAGAAAATCCTGGAAATAACTCCATAGCAATTATCCCAGCTCCTGCAATATTGAAAGAAGAAAATATACTTTAGTGAAAACGAAAAGGGCGAACGGGCATAAAAATAAAAAACTACATAGATTTGTATTTGTGAATTTGTAGTCCATTTTGATTATTCAAGGAACAACGTAATGCACAATGACATTACAGTTTTTTATGGAAACATGCAAAAGTTCCAATAAAATCAAATCCAATCTCTTAATTAGAAGTATTACAATTGTGCATAATGTATTACCGCATCAGATGATGGGTATAGCCTGATAAAAATATGTAATGGATACTGACCAAACTCTGGAACAAAAATTTGTTTATCTTATGGAAAAATGAAGCAAAAAAACTGCAGCAATCTGTACAGTTAACAACCAAACGAAAATGATGAAACTAGTTTGTGTTGAAGTAAGACCACTTCTCACTTACTTGGGAATGAAGAATCTTGGAGAAAAAACTGGAAAAGGAAGCCACCTAGAAGCCCGGTTCCAAACACCATGATATAGCCCACAACTGAATGACGATGGGTTTTTGAAAGATCAAGAGATATTATCATAAAAAAGAATAACCAAATATATATGATGGACATGAAAGTAAATGAAAAAGAAATTGTTCTGTTCTTGTAGTTACCTGTAGCAGTCTTCACGTTTGAAAACAAATCAGCAACAAGAAAAGCCATAGAAATTTGCAAGTTTATGTAGATGAAATAAAACACAAACTGGATGCTATAATCATTTAGCCGGAAGAAGTTTAGACCTGAAAGTCAAATATATCAGTTAAATCGTCGGTGGTTTGAATAACTTCATGAACCAGCATCATTTGGTTAGCCAGGCAAGTTTACCTATGAGTGAGCCGAAAATCACAAAGCATAACATGTAGATCGAAGATATGGCAAGAAAATATGCATACGATATCATCCAATAAGGTCCATCACCAAGTCCATGCATTTTCATCATAATTCTTAGTCTGTGTTGTTTCTCATAAACCAATGATAATAACACAACCTGCAAGGAAGATAATAAGAATTCAATCCATACCTTTATCTTGTACAACAAGTTTAAATTCTTGAGACTGGCAGGTGAAAAATATAGAAAATATGGAAACAGAAAAGGCAAACAAGGTGATGGGAATATAGAAGAAACATATTTATCATCTGAACTACTTTCAAGATGTAGTTATAAACTTGATGCACATAACTGTAAACTGCATGAACATTTTTTTGGCGACCAAAGAACAAGTGAAATGAGATGACAAATGACAACTTGAAAGCCGTAATCCTACTGGAAGAATACAGAAAATACATTCGAAAAGGTTGAAACTAATGTTGCATTTCTTATGGAACTACATTTAAATGTCAACTTACAGGGAACAGTTGTACAATAACCCATGTAAAGAACAGCGTCCCAAGGAGAGAAGATAAATCAAGCCTGGGGATTGTTTCAGGTTTGGGCATTTCTTTGACAAACTCGAAAAGCATTCTTGTACCTGGACCGAGCAGAAATTCAAGATATGCATTTGATACCTGTACATGCATACACTTAATCAGCAGCTTCCAATTTTATTTTTATTTTTAATTTTTTCTCCACAACCAAGCATATTATTGAGATTGTTTGTGTGCTAAAGTTGTAAGTTAACTATGTGAGGCATTGAGAATAAATATGTTTTAGAAAAAAAAAAAAAAAAAAAAAAAAAAAAAAAAAAAAAAAATCAAGTATGTGATAAAAAACTGAAAACTCAAGATTCCTTGAAGGGGAAGGAGTAAACTTCGAATCAACAAACAGAATATGCAAAATAACTCATAATGAAATCAGGATCTTGAGAAATTGCTGATCACGTTTTAAAAGTGTCACAAGTATAGACTATTGATCAGTGACTGCAGAGTTATGCAGTGCCAAATAGTATACGGATGATGACTTGAATATGAAATTATGAATACTAAACTGAGATTGCAAGTGTTAGAAGTCTCCAGCGGATAACAAACCAAATATATTTCTTCCGCAATGTATATTTCAGATTTGAAGAAGAATCAATGAAGGAGACAAAACAATAAGTAATATCTTGTGCTTGCATCGGATGATGAAAATTCGTTTGATTGCTCATCAGGTAACTAAATGACTCCAATTTTGAAAGATATAATTGACCGAATTTATTATAGAAAGCAAATTACTAACTGAGCACAGCATGACCATATTGAAAGCAACAAAAGGAGTAAGGATTTAGGTACCAAATTCACCGAACGAGGCACTCGCGTCAAGGCAATAGGCAGATTGCCTGTGTCATTCTTATATGTAGAATTGTACCATACATTAACGTTGAATAGATTCTCATTTGAATTCATAAAATCATAGGCTGCAAAACCAAACAAACAATGAATGAGGTGATTCACACTAAAACAGCATTTTGCTGCACAATTATACTCTTGTACCTGCTACAATCTCATTAATCCGCCTTTCTGAATTCCCTCTATTGTAACCATTGTATAGCACATCGTTTATCTCTGAAGAACTATTACGCCATAAACGCAGTCCCTGAATGCAACGTACATCTGAATTTTACACAAACATAAGTTCTACAAATACTAAATGACTTGTTCAGAATTCAAACTTTGTTATAGAAATTCAAACACAATGATCAAAGGTAGTCTTCACATTAAATGCAAATTTACCTTGCTGTAATGTAACAGAACCTAACCGGAGGGGAATAGCAAATTGAGAATTTGATGTGCATTGAGGTTGAAGAATATCAATCTCATTGGAGAAAAAAGCTTCGTCAATAAAATTGGTATAACGAGTCATTGTTTCTGAACCCTGAAAACATTAGAATCCCATTTGCAAAATCATTATCATAGACAAAACTAGTGAACCATATGAAGTTTAAGATATGAAGTGCATACCATCATCCTCATAACAATTATCACATAAGGAAAAGAAAAAAAAATGTAAAGAAGACGAAGCGGGAAAACAAATGTGACTAACCAAGGCATCATCCGCTAAGCTGTGCAGTACATCTGAAGCATTTATATTTAATGGTGTTGAAAACAAGTTTGCAGCCAGACCTATCATATCAAGTTTCATAATAAAAATCAGAACACCCCATCATGCTCTATATACAACTGATAAGAGAGGGAGAGAGAGTGCGATCAAGTTTCAGGAAAAAAATCAAGACGTCCCATCATGCTCTAGATACAACTGATAATAGCGGGAGAGAGAAAGAGAGCGAGAGAGAGAGAGAGAGAGAGAGAGAGAGAGAGAGAGAGAGAGAGAGGAGATCATACTTTGTCCAAATGTTCTGTTATTCCCTGTAAAAAGCATAGTTACCGGACAGGAACCTGTTCTCCTGCATGACTCATCAGGCAAGTCTCCATATGGCATAACATCCGTTCTCACTGCACGGTACTGCAGGGCAGGTAACTGTAGCAATGGGGGCCATTGTGGGGGATGAGGGATGGGACAGGAGCCGATTTGGTCCAAATCTGAGTACTCAACGCCACACCTTCTTTCACATTGGCCATTCCCAGTATCTACACAAGTGCAGCCACATCTGTTCGAGGGTCTATCTAGTTCATTGTTCACCAATTGTTGGATGAGAACAAGCAACAAACAGAGTATGATCGGGAATAGAATGAGTCGGATATTAGTCTTGATGTTTCTTTTCTGTATCAAAAGGAAAAGAAAGGAAAAAGAGAGCATTTAGGACTGTATCCATTTTAGTAAAACATGAGAGCAATGTAGGATCAAAGTGCCGTAATTTTCCTTCGGCAAAGACATTTCAAATGTTAAATGACAACATAAACAATCAAACAAGCTTATTAAGTTTATCCAACACGAGATATAGAAAATCAGAATGAATCGACTGGAGGGAAAGTCATAAAGTTCTATGTAAAGAGAGAGTTGTTCAAACTGGACTTTTTCGAGCCTTTTAACTTCTTACGACATTTTCATAACGGTTATTTGAAAGTCATTTCAGCTTTATTACCTGATGTAAGTCAAAATACCCCTAATCACAACCCCAGTCATTATTATATATTTATATGTATGTGTAGTTCTGTATCTGTACTTCCTTATCTATTGTTGCATATTCCACATTCTGATTACTACATCAATCACACATTGGAACCCTTAGTGTAATAAGGATCATAATTTTCTAATTACACTATGACCAAACAGCCAAAATCACTACATTACAGAACAAACTAGAAACTATGTGCTCTGGAAAATTAAGTGAAACAAGATCAATCAGATTTTGGGGTACTCGTTTTTCGACGGTAGGATCATTTTCACAAACCAATTCATTCCGACGTTAAATCGTCTGCTTCCGCTCGATCAAAGAG